ATGAGAATCTTTCTTTTATCCATTATTTCATACCAATTCTAGTTCTTGTTTTATTAAAGAAACGTTTTTTATTCTGACCAATGAACAAAGTAAAGGAAAAAGGAACAGTTGACAGTAACTTTCAAAACTTATTGCAGTGATTCTCTTAAGTTCTTGCACATAAAAAAGTCACTTTATGAGCATCTTAAAAATACATATTCTTGGGGGAAAATACATATTCTTGGAATCTGCTGTCTAGAGCAAGATGGGCAAACTGGCAGTGAGTCGGTCAGCCTGTCCCATTGTCTGTTTTTGTATGCCCATGAGCTAAGAATATTTGTTATTTCATTTTTAAATGTTAGAAAAAGACAAAGAAAAAATATTTTTTGTGACAAGGAAATTACATGAAATTCAAATTTCAATGTCTATATAACATTGTATTGCAACAACAGCCACACTCATTCATTTAATATTGCCCGAGTGATTTTGACAGAAACCATATGCAAAGCCTAAAATATTTACTCTCTGATCCTTTAGAATGAAAGTTTTCTAACCTCTGCTCTAAACAGTCTAATTCAGTAGTTCTCAGGTAGAAACTAGGAATCTATTTTGATGTATATTTTATGTGACTGTGAGGCAGGAGGTTCTTTGGAACACATTTTGAAAAACAATGCAGTGGAAGAATTATGGACAACTTTTCTCTTCTCACTCATCACACTCATTTTATCAGCAAATCCTACTGGTTTTATCCTCAAGCAATATCTAGAATACGACTATTTATTTTTACCATGTTTACTGTTGTCAACCTAATCCAAGTCATCATCATTTCTTTTTTGGATTCTTGTATTGGCTTCCTAGTCAGTCTGCTTCTTTCTTTCTTTCTTTCTTTCTTTCTTTCTTTCTTTCTTTCTTTCTTTCTTTCTTTCTTTCTTTCTTTCTTTCTTTCCAGAGCACATGTGTGGGGCAGGGGCAAAGAGACGGAGAGAGAGAGAATCCCAAGCAGGCTTCTCACTCTCAGCGTAGAGCCCAATGTGGGGCTCAAACCCATGAACGGCGAAATCTTGACCCGAGCTAAAGTCAAGAGTCAAACATTTAACTAACTGAGCCACCCAGGTGCCCCAGTCTGCTTCTGCCCTTGCCTCATGCTGTCCATTGTCAACACAGCAGCCAAGAGTGCATGTGTGAAAACCTTAGTCAGATCATGTAACTCCTTTCCTCAAAACCCTCCAATGGCCTCTCTACTTCTCCTCCTTTGTCACTATCTAGCTACTTTGGCCTCCCAACTGTTTCTCTGAAACTCTAGTGTGCTGCATCCTCAACACCTACACAGACTGTTTTCTCCAAATGGCATAATCTTCCCCCAGAGAGTGACGGACTTTGAGGTTTGTCTTCGGTCAGTCTTTCCTTAACCATTGGCTTCTTAGTGATCCCTTCTGTAAACACTTTATTTAAAATTATAACCTTCCTGTATGGGGCTGCCTATCTCCCTGGTGCCATCCAACATATTATATACACCTTACTTTTTTATTTTGACCAGGGGTCACCTTCCCCACATGAGGGCACCATAGAGGCAGGGATTTTTATCGGTTTGCTCTATCCTTAGATTCTAAAAGAGTGCTGACTCTCTTGATAAATATTTCTTGAACAAAGAAATGAGCCCCAGATTCCCATTTTGGGCTTGATGGATAATGTGTGACAACTATGAAACATTTCTTGTGTGCAAAAATAGTTGCCATGAGTATAAATATAAGACTCACCCCTGGAAAATGATGAAATATGATGATAGGAAGAATACAGCAGCTATTTCAATCTCAGCCAATAACTTAATTACAGAAGGTCCTAAGGAAAGTAGAGGTTAGATACAGATATGAAAATGGGTAAATGGATGAAAATCCAGTTGAAAATCTTGAGAAGAGATTCCAGGAAGCCACATTTCACAGTTGAGCTGCCTCCTCTAAGAAGTAGTTGTGCTTTCTGCAGGTTCTACTGTTCATCATCAGCTTGAGCAATTTGAGGAGACTGGATCCCAAAGTTTCCCAAAGGGAAAATGAGCAGGGTGTGACTAGCAGTGGTTCAAATTCACTCCTTAGGAAGCATCAGCATTAGAAGATAATGTAAAGCAATTTTAGATAAACTTGAATTTGAACTTGATTCCTCTAAACTAAAAGGAAATGGATGTTTTTATTTCACCTTAATCTTCTCATTCAAAAAATTCATCTGATTTTACATATATAAAGCTTTATTGTGTGGATTGAATAATAGGTTATTCTTACAAAGATGTAGATTTTAACTACTAAAGAATACTTTTTAGAGAGAAAAACAAAACAAGACTGCATTGTTTACCTGTTCTTCTATGGATGAAGTGTTTGGCTTGATCTCCAAGGGGTGTACATGATTCTACATCCCTCAGTTAATTTAGTCATTTAAGTAAATGTGAATTCAAAAGCCATCAGTGAATATTCAATTCAGTGTAAGAAACATCACCTCCATATAAAGTTTGTGACATTTCCAAAAGGAATGGTTGATGAATGCCAAAAGAGTTGAAGCTTTTAAATCAGTTTGAATTTTAAAACCTAAACAATTTTCAGAAAAGTCAGTTCCTGTACATTTTGAGATTCTATTCAATGTGAAATCTGCTCTGTCAACTTGAACTGGCCACAAGAACCCAAGTGTTGTTTGAGGCGTTCTCGTGCTGGATGGAAGATTGGGCTCGATCAGGGAAAGGCAACTTGTAAGGTCCCCTCCAAACTAAGATTATTTAAATCCTATTATTTTATACTGAGATAATCTGATTATTCTAATTCCCTCACCTCCCATTTTTCTGCTTAACTATGTACTATCTTAAATCAGTTTATTGACAAGGGAGAATGAGACTAATAACTGTCAAGATGACAGATTGAACTTTCAGACTACAGGCTTATAAATAGTTTTATGTGAATATGAGATGGTAATAACAGGTAATATTTCTGTAGCACTTTACATTGTACAAAGCACTTGCAGATCCATTATTTCGTTTGATATTTCCTCACCTCTATGATTCAGTTATTACTATCACAACTCATTCCTTGATAGAGAAATGGAATTCAGAGATTCCTCCAGACACACAGTCCATAAGTCTTAGACTCAGGAATCAGACCTCGTTCTTCAGATTCCCTTTCTTTATATCACAATATATTGATCTCATTTGCCCTTGTCCCCTTCTTCCTACAAGGAAAGCAATACTGTGAGGGAGAAATAATGTTGCTATCCCTTTTTACAGATAAAGATAGTAGGTGATAGAAGTGGGAATTAAATCTGGGCATACTGCCTAAAAAGCTGTGTTCCTTCATCTATAATGTATATTTGACAGTGTGTAGTTTTATTGCTGTTTGAGATGTGAGGAAGACCTAAAAATCTAAAGGTAGAAGTTGGGACTGGCGGGTGATGAGAAAGAATGAAATCATAAGCGCATGGAATCCAGGCTTTCTCTCATTAGGCCACTTGACTACCCCATCCCACCCCCTACCCTCAGCTCCCCGCCCCAGTTAGCATTGAGAGATGTTGATGCAGGAACATAAATTGAGGCTTCCAGAGAAATTAGCATGATGTGTGGAGAAATTCCACTTCTTTCTGCTTTGACATCTCCTTTCTTCTTTCCCAGTTAGTCTGTGAGCTCCTCAGATGTCACAAAACTATACTTTGTCTTTATATTTCACACATGTAATAAAAATAGCTAACAGTTGGTGAGACAGTAAACCTCTTTAGTGTTAAATGTAAAACTCTTTGCATCTATTACCTAATTGAATCTTTGTCATAACCCTGTAAAATAGGAATTATTATCCCTTACCCCTTCTTCTTTTTAAACATGAAGAAATGAAGCACATAAAGGCTAGGTAACTTCCTTAAGGTTATACAGCTAGTATGTGGAAGGAAGGAAGGAAGGAAGAAAAGGAAGGGAGGGAGGGAAGAGGAAGGAGAAGGAGGAGGGAGAGAGGAAGAGATGGAAAGAAGGGAAAAAACAAAAGGAAAAAGACAGGGAGGGAGAAGAAAAGAAGGAAATGGAGGGGGAAAGAGAGGAAGGAAGGGAAGGAGGGAAGGAAGGGAAGAAGTCATAGGCTAATGAGAGCTCAGAGTCAAGAACCTTGAAGTGTTCCTCTTCAGGGCCACATGGCTAGCACTCAACAGATCACTAGTACAATGGAGGTATGGGAGAGCAAAAGAGATGACAGGTTTTCTGTACCTCTTGACCATTATAGTGGATGCTAGTAGAATTTTTTTTACACCTCCCAGCCCCCATGCTCCCCAAAGCCGTAATGGAAAGAAATGAAGTGTCTTGCCTGAACATAGACAGAATCCCTACTGTGGTATAGCTTGCTTTACTTGAGGGCTTGATACAGTGTTATTTTACGTTAATGGAAAATCTGTATGTGCTCCTCAGAAACAGTAGATCATTCTGCTTACGCTTGGGACCTGGTACTTTTTCTTCAGTTTAATATTTATAGGTACTCTTTTCCCCCTGTGCAGTCTTTGGAACTCCACTAGGTTTGGGCTCCATTCTGTAGGCCTCGTGTCACAGCCGAGGCGATGGGTCTGCAATCGGACACTTTCAGAGCACAATCAAGCTTCAGTCTCTTACTAGCTGTGTGATTGCTGGGCAAGTCTCTTCACTGTGGATTCAGTGGTTTGTTGTTGTTGTTTTTACCTTACATAGCCTGTATAATAGAGATTTTCTAAACTAAAATGCAAAGAAAAGCACTTTGTAAACTGAAAAACACTTTACAAACTTAAGGTATTGTCTCCTACCTCATAGAAATATGTATCTTGTTCCTGAAGAGCTTATATTTCTTCCTTGTCTTATTTTGTTTTTTGGTTGGCTTTTTGTTTGTTTGTTTGCCTCCTCTTGTTTTGCTTCTAATTATTTTCCCAAAAACATATATGCATGTGAGTATACTATAAACACTATTTGAAAGCACGTAGTTTCTTTCCTGGCTATTTCCAATACACATTTCTGATGAACCCTTCTTATTTTTCTTTACTTATAGAAATCTCCAAAAGTAAAAAACATCAAAAGTAATGAGATGCGACTGAAGCCACCTGGGCAGTGAACATAAATGTTGCAATGGAAAAGTAATCTTAGCCTTCAAGCCGAAAACAACTATTCCCCAACAGACTTCAGAAGAAACTTGACTGGCCATGGCAAAGGAAAAACACAACCTTAAAAGTTTTAACAGATAATACTTAAAGAGAAACCTATGATATGGAATTCACATAATCTATTCTGTTGTGCCAAAATCTTTATATATGGTTTTATTGTTACTTAGGACATATTTATTTAATGTGCACACACTTTCTGTGATTCCTGTTTCCCCTGCCAACCATGAGTCAATTGAAAATGAATTTTATATTTCAGTTTCTAGGTGAACCAGTTGAAAATATGTTGAAAGCCCACCAAATATTTTCAGGGTTTCAGAATTTGGTTTCTTTCTAGAATTTTTCTAGAATTATCATCATTCCTGCTAAAAATAACTTAAAAAATAATTATATCTGAGAGTGATTTAAAATACCCAAGTTTCGGGGCGCCTGGGTGGCTTGGTCGGTTAAGCGTCCGACTTCGGCTCAGGTCATGATCTCGCGGTCCGTGAGTTCGAGCCCCGCGTCGGCTCTGTGCTGACAGCTCAGAGCCTGAAGCCTATTTCAGATTCTGTGTCTCCCTCTCTCTCTGCCCCTCCCCTGTTCATGCTCTGTCTCTCTCTGTCTCAAAAATAAATAAACGTTAAAAACAAAATTTTTTTTAAATAATAAAATACCCAAGTTTCTTATCTGATTCCCTGGGAGCTGTGAAAATGAATTTGACTTCACATTTTCAGTTTGTTTATAAATAAGTTTGTTTGAGGCTTAGCCCCCAAAGCTATCATGAGTCACAGGAATTTTCTATAACTTTCTCCCCTGCCTCCTAACAACCAGAGTTCATGACTACAATATCACCAAAGATCAGATAATATGCTTTATTATTTTATGTACTGTATACTAGATAACCCTTTAGATGAATGCTTGTTAGGATTATAGTAAAACCATTTCATTTATGTATCATTATGTACTGAGTATACAGGGACATATTATTTTGCCTCTAATAAAATGAAGAGACAGAGAAGTTATCTTGTTAGTTACACAGGAATTTAATGGCAAGCTTTGGACTTTGTTCATAGGTCATACTCTATACAAAAACTGTTAGTTAATCTCGTATATCATAATTATTTTCTATTGGGTATAACAATTATTCATTGGTTTAGTACCAAGGAGTCTCTGAAGACAACAAATCATGAAACATCTCTTCAACAGAAAAAAAAAAAAAAAAAAAAAAAAAAACCTACAGTAAGAGATCTTTCACACAATGCTTTATTGATAAACTGATATAGCTTACTTCTTCTTACCTTTTTTTTTTTCTTTTTAAGTGGAACTGAATCCTGATTTCCAATACCCTAAAGACTGTTTTAGTGACTTCATGTGATGCTACAGTTGGTTATTTACAACTTCTGAAATTTTCTGAGAAGGTTTCACTTCTATTTATGTTGCTGGTTTATGCCCATAAGAACAAGAACTTTGCAAAAAGCTTATGTCCTCACCTTTGATTATTGAATTCCACAGAAAGTCCCTTCTCACTTCATCGATGTTGGCAAACTCATAAAACTCACAGACCAATTTTCTATTTTTCAAATAGTAATGAATAATTAGTGGTTTTTATTTGCTATATGAGAACAATTAAGTTAGTACTTTTAGTCAGTACAATTCTTTGATTAGAAAATCAAGACAATGCATGTCTTAGTTTGGTTATAAACTATCAAGGTCTTTCTAGTGGAAATCATATATAAACATCTCTAACAATACAAATCCTTATAGGTACTATGCTTCCAGCTCTGTTGCTATTAAAAAGTGTTAATCAACTTCATGTTCATCTATGGAAGATTTTGGAAGGTTGGAAATAAATTTTCTAATTTTAATTTGTATTTGTGTGTGTGTGTCCTTTGTCATGTTTAACTGTGGAATAACTATCTTCCTATAACAACTAAGTTAAAATTTTTAACTAGAACTGAAACCAGTTGTTCACTAGTGAGAAGAAGGCCGCTTGTGTTAAAGAAGCCAGGAGAATAGAGATACTGTCCTCCTGCCCCTGTCTGCCACAACCAGGGACCTGTAATGATGGTCCCAGTGACCACATTTCACAGTATGGTCAGGCTGTATGGATAGCTGCCAAGATTTCCAATTATGAATGTTCCCGTCTTCCTAATTAAATCAGGTAAACAGTTTTGGGAAGGAGATGGAAAGGAGTGAGAAATGGAAAAAGGAAAATGTTCTTTTTTGAGATGTGTTCGGCTCTTAAAACCAGGACTTTAATATAAAAAGTGTTTGTTTTAAGATCAAAGTCAACATTAATGAGACTTCTGGATGTTTATCCAAAGGCTTAAGATACAAGTTACTTCTAAAAGAAAGAGGATATATAAAATTCGTAGGAATATATCTCAATAAGCTGGAACACTAAAAACTGAATCTAATAGAATGAAAGTATTCTTCTGATGTTGCCACAGAAATATTTCCACAATTTTATCATTTCTACTGCTTCTACTTGCACTAACCCTGTCACCATTCTCCTATTCTTGCTAACATTCAATCTATTCTTAATGAAGTAGCTAGCATGAAGCTTTTTAAAACATATTTTATTTCATGCCACATTGCTTCCCACCTCATTCAGAGTAAAGGCCAAAATTGCTAAAATGATTTACAAAATCCTACATGATTTACTGCTGTCACCTCTCTGGCCTCTTCTCACTCACTGAGCTCAAGCCATGCTGGCCTCCCCACTGCCCATCAAACATGGCCGGACGGTCTTGATTCAAGGCCTTTGCATTTGCTTTCGCTCCACAGGAAGTAGTTTTGCCCAGATATTCCTCAGGTTCTGTACAAATGCCTGCCCTGAACACACTGTCTCAAACTATCACCTCAGCCCCACCTAGTTCTTCCTATCTCTTTCCACATTTTATTTTATTTTCTCCCTAAGGATTGATTCTGTCTAATACACTATATATCCTCAAATCTTTGAGGATGGCACTGATTTCTGCCAATACACTTATGATATGATTTATTTTATGTTCAGTATGTTGGTCATAAGAAAGTGAAGAAGGGATTCAAGAGATTCAACTCAGCTTTAATTTTTAATTTTTTTAAATATGAAATTCATTGTCAAATTGGTTTCCATACAACACCCAATGCTCATCCCAACAGGTGCCCTCCTCAATGCCCATCACCTCCCACCCCCCATCAACCATCAGTTTATTCTCAGTTTTTAAGAGTCTCTTATGGTTTGGCTTTCTCCCTCTCTAGCTCTTTTTTTTTCCTTCCCCTCCCCCATGGTTAAGTTTCTCAGGATCCACATAAGAGTGAAACCATATGGTATCTGTCTTTCTCTGTATGGCTTATTTCACTTAGCATCACACTCTCCAGTTCCATCCACGTTGCTACAAAAGGCCATATTTCATTTCTTCTCATTGCCAAGTAGTATTCCATTGTATATTATAAACCACAATTTATCCATTCATCAGTTGATGGACATTTAGGCTCTTTCCATAATTTGGCTATTGTTGAAAGTGCTGCTATAAACATTGGGGTACAAGTGCCCCTAATTTTTAACTTTTATTTTTGAGAGAGAGAGAGAAAGAGAGTGTGAGTGGGGGAGGGGCAGAGAAAGAGGGGGACACAGAATTCGAAGCGGGATCCAGGCTCCGAACTGTCAGCTCACAGCTTGACATGGGACTTGAACTCACAGACAGTGAGATCATGACCTGAGCTGAAGTCAGACGCTTAACCGACTGAGCCACCCAGGAGCCCCTCAACTCAGCTTTTTCTGCTATAATAGGTCTGTGGACTTTCTCCACAGACCAAGGGATCACTGCTATGGTTCTAAGAGCCAGTCTGTATGTCTGTTTTGATTATAATTTGAGAACTGAGGGAATGACCACTGGTAGTGTCTGTGGAACCAGTAAACTTACTGTGGGATAGACTTGGCCTGGAAGACTCTATTTATTATTTGACCTATTTTATGAAAGGATAAAATCAAGCACTGTGTGCATGACGGTTAACTATTGTTTATTACATATTCTGTCATTAAGGTACTGAAGCCTCAGTAAAGAATGGGATCTCACTACATGCCCCTTTAGGTGACTAGAAAGATACTTAAGCTGAGACTTAAGTCTCTGTGGCTTCCCTATCCCTCTGTGACTGACACTCTTAACATCTTCTTGTCCCTTCTTACAGCAGTGCAATGTTTGGGCACATGAGATGCTGCACCGGGGTGTCTGAAGCCCCCAAGGTTATCTTGCTCTGCATAGTGCTCCTGTTCTCTCCCCTTTATTAAAACTAAATAAACTTGATGCAAGGTGAGCCTGTTTTGTCTTGTACATTTGATTGACAACCGGAAAGTGAAACTCATTTTAGTGGTCTTCTCTTTGCAAGAGTACAAAGGAAACATAAAAATACTAGAAACAAAAAATACAATATATTTTTTTAAAGTTGGGCATAACAGAAGAGAAAGTCGATGAGTCGGTAAACTTTAAGTTATCACTCAGGAGGCATCAAATAAAAACAAGAGAAAATATAAAAGAGATGTTAAAAGATGTTGAGATGTGTTTCAGAAGACACACATTGAAATTGAGAGAACGGTGCCAGGCTGAAGTGAGGCAATGTTCAGAGATGATATGTGAAAACTCTGGAATTGATAAATGATACTGAGTCTCAGATTTCAAAAGTCTAGCATATCTCAAGAAAGATAAAAAAGTAATTTCCCAACACATCATATTATAGTATAATTTGAGAAGATGGATACGAAGATAAGGCTATGGTAATAATTTGGAAAACAGTAGACTTCTAACGTCAAAACAGAAGCTGGAAGCCAGGATGCAAGGGGAAACACTCTCAAGAACTGTAAACCAAATTAAATAATTTAAAAAAATAAGAATAAAGACTCTTACACATAACCAAAAACAGACAGGATTTGCAGTAACCTGAATTCTCAGTACCAGACTATATGAAGGATGTAGTCTAAGAAAGAAAATATATTCAGGAATAAAATCTGAGAATCAGGAAGGAATGGTATATTAAAAGAAAATTTACAGAATGGGAGAGATATATCACATATATACATCCAACATAAGAATTATATTCAGAATATATAAATAACTCCTAAAAATCATTAAGTAAAATGCAGACAACCCAGTTTTCAGAGAAGATAAAGGACTTAAGCAGTCATTTCACATACTAGGATATCCAAATGGATAATGAGAATATGTAAATGTGCTCAAAATCACAGCAGTCTTTAGGAAAATGCAAATTAAAGCCACAATGACATATACCATTACAAATCCACCAGATGGCTAATTTTTTTTTTTTTAAATGAAAAGAACAAGTTTTGAAGAAAGTGTGGAGCAATCAGAACTCACACATATTGCTTGTGGGAGTTTGATATATTTACTTTGGCAACTGCTGTACCTACTAAAGCTAAGCATATACCTACCCATGACCCAGAATTTCCACTCTTAGGTGTAAATCCACCAAAGCTTAATACATTAGCCTACCAATAAGTCATGTACAAAGATGTTTGTACCAGCCTTATTCATACTAGCTCCAGATTGGAAACACTCCATGCCCATGACCTGTAGAATAGACAAATTGTGGAAAATGAGTCAGCAACAACATGAGTGCAATGATACATGCAACAACCTGAATATATTTCAAAACCATAACGTGAGTGATAGAAGTCAGAAGCAAAAATAGTATATGCTGCATGATTCCGTTTATATTAATTTTAAGAATAGGCAATACTGCCTTATATTAATAGAAGGAAGTCTACCGTTTGCATTTGGGTTTGACTGGGAGGATGTACAATAGAGCTTTCTAGGGTACTAGAAATGTTACATATCTTAATCTGTTATCTGGTTACATGGAGATGCATGTAGATATAAAGTCAGCGAACTTTATATTTAACAGTTGCGCACTTCACTGCATGGGTTTGATAAAACAAGAGAATGATAAGAACAAGTTTCAGAGTAATTTTAACCCCAGGGTAAAAGTTGAAGAGGGATTGGGACGGGAACCTAAGGGCCTTCAAGTATATTGGTAACGTTCTACTTCGTACGCTTGTTAGTGGATCTGTGGATGCTTTCTACTCTTTATATGTACTTATACGGTATGTATATTATATCATATTATATATAGGTTTTTGTGTATGTGAAATATTTTCTAATCAATATAAGAAAAATGATACAAAGAAAACACTGCTATTTGACTTGGCCAACAGAGGAAGTAAAGATTTGGCAAACCTTCGTCAAAGTATACATTATAATCCTCCGCGAGCGCACTATCGTATGTAATGTTAGTGAGCGCATACTTTTGCTTTGCTCTTGCTCAACTACTCTGTTAGGAGGCATATAGTTTTATCTTGCTGGAATGCGTTTTTCCCTTGGGATAGTCTCAAAAATATTTTCGTATATTTATCCCACATACTAATAAAAGATAAGAAACACATTTTCTTCAGCATGTTTCTTCAAATGCCTCCAAATCTTTTTGTTAAAAATAAATGCCTTCCACATTGTCAAATTCTTATCTTATGCAGTATTCAAAAGTAAAAGCTGAACTCTTTAGTCAGTGTTATCAAAGCATTTACTGCAGATGATATTTATATGGTTTTAGACATAACCCTGATATTTAATTGATTTAATTTCATTTCCTTTTGTGCATTCTGAGGAAACCTCAGGTTTGGGTTGAATACTTACAATGCATGTTAAGGTACGTGAAGAATTCTTATTTCTGAGTTAGAGGTTAGTAGTGAAATAGTAGCAAAAAAATTTCAAGTGGTCATATCCTCGATTAGACTAATAGTGTGCTATTGGAAGAAAATGGCCAAATGATTTCTCATCTCATGACATGGGAATAATTGCCTGATAATAATTTCATTTGGATTACTGGTTTATAAATTTAAAGTATGAAAAAGTAAAAGGTATCCATATGTTTTTTTCTGATCTAGATTCTAAAAGTATAAAATATTAATTCACTTTATCAGAGTCTGTCACAAATATATTTCCCTTATAAGAGTGAGAATTAGACCACACATTTTGTTTTATATTACTTTTGGTAATTTTTGTCATTGTGGTTTGTGTTTGAGTAACTGAATTATTTCATTTCCGTATGTGTACAGAAAGATATACTCAAAATACTACTACATTTTGTTCTTACAACAAAGTCACGGGGAAGGGAAATTTGATAAGTGGGTCCAGTCTAGACCCAGCACTAATACCCCCACAACCATGGAAACTAGAGATGAAGGTGGATTTCACATAAATCTATGTACCTGGGACTGTTAAAGTGGAGAATAAATAAAACTGCTAACCAGATGCTCTCAAATTCCCTGTAGATACTAATACTGGGAGTTTAGGCATAAGAAATTGGCATTTGTGGGGAATCTGGGGAATTCTGTAAATCATGTTTTTCTTAGATTTGAAAATGGTAATTTATTTTTATACTTTAAAATAATAATGAATGCCCCTAATAGTAAATAGTGAATCATTTTGTGTGAGAGTTTTAGTCTCAGAGGTTTTCGGTTAAAAAATAAAGCTGTGGCAATAAATGCATGATTTACTATTCTTAAGAGATAATATATTGTGATAAAATGTAAAAATGATGTCTACCTGAAATAGATATTTGATTATTAGAAAAAAGTTAAAGACTGGAACATTAACAAAATAAATGTTAAATAAAAATCATTAAAAATTAAATGATAATAACACAATTATTTATTATTTAACACTTATTGTTCTTAAAATCAAATTTTACAACACAATAGGCAGTAATTGTCCTCATCCATAATCTTGATCATTGTTCTGAGACAAACAATTCCACACATAGAAAATGTTGCATTGATGTCGGTTGAATTATTAAGATTAGTTGCTAGAGCATGTGTTGTTTCCTATGGACTCATTTTCATTTTAACAATGAATATATTTTGTCTGCTTGATGCTGGTTTTTCCATTGAAATTGGTATTGCTTAGGCTGTATTAGATTTTAGATCAGTTTCTCATTCCACCAGGGTATTCAACAACAACATTCCTATCTTCTTTTTGCATTTCTTCTGTTAAAGTAGTTACAAAGGGCTACAGCCTAGGGCAAATATTTAATCACTGGAAATGCCAGGCAACATTACTAGCATACTGTAACAATTCCAACCTATGAGTATGGTTAACAGTACTCCACAGAATCATGTGCCAAAATTGATAACTAAAAAAAAGCTTTTTTGCTTCTGAAATTTGATATTTGGGGAACACTATTCATCAGTTTATATAAAGTAAACTATGTATGTAAACTTGTTAATTTTAATTTCATTTGCAAGAATACCTTACCATTAACAGTAATCAGGGCCGCAAACACAAAATTACAACAAGGCAACAGCAACAAGAAAGCATGAATGATTAGATTTGACCACTTCCCTCCTACATGCTCCTGTTCTGATTCATAGATAGTTTGACTCAATTATGTCAAAACATAAGCTTAACTATAAGTTATGAGGGAAGGAGAAGGCCTATGTTTTCCCTTGATTTCTGCAAATATAAAACTTATATTCATTTAAAAATATTGTTTCAAATTTCTTGCTCAATAAGTTCATTTTAGGATACCAACCGTTTATCTTATTTCTACAAAGTACACTTAAACCAACCATAAATGAGAATTTATTTATTTATTTATTTTTAAATTTTTAAAAATGTTTATTTATTTTTGAGACAGAGAGAAAGGTGCGGAGTGTGAACAGGAAAGGAGCAGAGAGGGAGAGGGAGACAGAATCCGAAGCAGGCTCCAGGCTCCCAGCTGTTAGCACAGAGCCTGACGTGGGGCTCAAACTCATGAACCATCAGATCATGACCTGAGCCAAAGTCAGGCGCTTAACTGACTGAGCCACCCAAGCACCCCCATAAATGGGAATTTTAGTAAAACTTTTTCAATTTGAGTTTTATGCCCATAATTGTAATGAATATTTTAAATCATCCTAATTTGCTTTTTCTAAATTTTTGAAAAAATTTACTTATTGAGGAAAAGGAAGCCCAATTTTTAAGTGTTTTTGTGACCAATTAGCATCCTATTCTAACAGCTGGCAGTTACGTTAATTACCTTTAATGATAAAATTACACTGATCTATTTAGCCATTCAATTAAGATAAAACAGTCTTTTAGATTTCATTAACTACTTTTAATGATGAAATTATACTGATCTATTAACCACATAGGTAAAGAGTCTAAATATCTTTTAGATTTCATTACCTATTTTTATAAATTATCTGGACAATAAGAATGGCATGGAACTTAATACATATTGTGTCAGTAATGAATCAATTCTTGTCTTATATTGCCAAAGATCAGGACAAATTTTTGAAAAAAATATTAAACCAAATTTATTTTAAGTAATTTATATCCACCATTGAACCAGCAAAGCACAATACAATTTTGAAGTATATACAAAGTTAATGACAGTATAAAGGAGGACAAAGAAAAATAGAATATACTTTTATATTTACTTACATTTGCAACAGCTTCGTTGAGATATAACTGACATACAATAAACTGCACATACTCACAATGGAAAATTTGATTAATTTTTACATATATTTAAACCCTAAAACCATCACCTCAATCAACATAATGAATATATCCATAATGCCAAAAAAAAATTTCCTCTTGCACCTTTTTATTAGGTCTTTCTCTTTTTCTCTGTCCCTTCTTTCTATCCCCGTGCAACAAAATTTCTGTCTTCTTTCTATCACTATAAATTAGCTTGCATTTTCCAGGCTTTTTATAAGCAGAGTAATGGAGTATATACTACTTTCCTTTACTTTTTCTTTAGTGTAATTATTTTGAGAGTCATACATGCTATATTGCATATATAAATTGTTTATTCTTTCTTTCGCTGGGTAATGTTCCTCCGTGTGGATATAGAAGTTGTTTATTCATTCACCTATTGATGGACATTTAGATTGTTTCCAGCTTTGGGCTACTACAAATAAAGCTACTAGGAACAGTTGTCTACAAGTTCTTCTACAGATACCTGCTTCTATTTCTCATGGGCAAATATCTAGGAACGAAAGGTCTGGGTCATACAGTAGGTATATGCTCAACTTTTTAAGGAACTCCCAAAATGTTTTCCAAAATTATCCTACGTTCATTTCAATCAGCTGTGTATGATGAGATTTCTAATTGTTCCACACCTCCGTGTGTTAAATCCTGCGTGTGTGTGCGTGTGTGTGTGCGTGTGTGTGTGTGTGTTCCACTCTGCACAATTTTCAGTTACCATGGTTTAATTAAACCAAACCAAAGAATAACAGTCCCCTAACAACACATCAAATTTTAGTATCGCGGTAAACGAGCTAAGGACACAAAGTGCGAACAGGGCTGCTAGCTCCTCATTCCACGAATCTCTGTGTAAGGACCACGTGTACATATTGATCAGTGATTAATCACATCACTTCTTTGGAGGTATGCGGGCGACTGCCCCTTCACTGCCTGTTATTGCTTGGTTCACACAGGACAGCAAAGCATGTAGTTGGGCTGCTTCCTTGTCTCCCAGTGATAAACTCACCCGAACACTTTACGAAATTAGAGAACTCAAAATGGGTATATGAAAGAGGCCAACAAAAATGAAGATGCAGCAACGAAATGGAAGATGGCAGGACCGGCGGTGAAATTTGAGTGAAACATGAATGCAATTGGGAAGAATTGCTGGCTGCCACGAGAGTGTTGACGTGGCTGCCATTGGAGACCCTAGCTCCGCAGCCGCGGTAACCCGGTAAAAGCCAACCTAACCAAAAAGGTGAACGAAGAGCCCTCAGAGGAGGCACTGACTGCACAGATTCTCACATTAAAGGAACTCTCCGAGATATTTCACAGCACTGAAAGGATGCAATGTTGGAAGCCTTTCGAGGTATGCTTGCTCTGTATTGTAGGATTCACCATGCGAAGGAGCAAGGTCTGGCCTCACTATTGTTGATGTGCCTTTTACAAAGAAATATGACACCTGAATTCTCAACGTTCCCAATGCTTTCATTTACAGTATGCTAAACCGATATTCGTTTTACTCTTCTTTGTCATTTCCTTATACATTTATAACAGGCAGTAAAGTTTTGTCCATGTTTAGACAGAGTTTGTAAAGCTCATGGAACAATTTTAAAGGTTCTCATTGTGCCCAATGTCAGCTTGCACAGTCATTTTTCTGGTTCCTTGGCACCATGTAAAGCAAGGACTGAGGGCCTAAATTATGTCGGTGTATAGTTTAACTTTGGCAATAAATACATTACAGTTTTAAAAATAACTATGGGGCAGTGGTACAACTATATTAAAAAGTAGGAAATGAATGTTTCGTAACTTTGGGAATGATACCAGGGAGAGGGAACATGTCAGGTTAAACCAGTTAATGTGCAAGAGTCAACAGCTTCTTCTCATTGCACCAAACTCTCCTGCATCCTCGTGAGGATGCCTGTTCCCCATTACTCTGAGGCCATGAAGAGTCATTACCCAAGATGTATTATTACTTTCTAAATAAAGTTCGAGTCCATTTACTTCTCTGCATCCCTTTCTTGCCTTTACATGCACTCCGCTTTCACCCTGCCTCAACCAGGCTAGTGAGTGGCAGAATTCAAACATCTCCTGTGTAATTTCTACAGGACTCATTGAGGCAGATACCATTGTTCCCACATCTTCTCACCACACCATATATCGTCCATATGGGACAAGTGTGTCTTCAGTGTTGTGAATACTTGTGAATATTTTCATTGGGTTCCTGATATTCAGGGCTTGTTTTTACCTGCAGTGGCCCATTGTAGGTACATGATACATGTTTTTTAAGTAGATGAATCTCTGATGTGTGTAAATCCAATTTACTATGTTGCCTTTAACTTAGATCTTGTCTTAAGCTTTCTCTAGTCACCTGAATAGAAGTCAAACTTGACCAGTGGGACATCTTCAAGACCACATGTGACCCTGGAGCCACTTTTCCAAAGCTTGTGAAACAATGAGAGAACTAAAAAATTGTTGATATTAAATTTAGAGCCTTTTTCCTAGAGTACAAACTTGGTGTACGTATATGGAAATTTGATAAGCACTGACAGCATGCATTTTGGGGGTTTTTTGAAAGCTAGTATAGCTTTATTGGAAGTAGATAAAATAGATTTAAGGCCAATAAGGAAGGGCCAAAGAATAAATGGCCACACATTATAATAAAAATATTAGACTAAAATAAAAAAATATTAGAATATTTAACACATTGACTAAAAAATTAACAATTGTAAGTTTTTTAGATCTTAGATTTAAAATAGATAAAGCAAAAATTTGACAGAAATGATAACAGGGAACTCTACAATTCTAATGGGAAATTTTTAATAACCAATCTGTAGTAGAACAAGCTGATTTTTTTAAAAAAAGTTTTAATTAAATGTGACCAAATGGACATATAGAACACAAATTCTTTTTACAATTGTCTAAATACTGAGTAATAAGGCAAATCTTTTAAAAGATTGAAATAATACAGAATATGTCAACCATACTAAGATCAAACAGAACTACCCTGTGATCCAGCAATTGTACTCGTAGGTGTTTATCCACAGAATAGAAAAATTCTCATTCAAAGTGTTCCACACACCTTGATGTTTATAGCAGCATGATCTACAATAGCATTGACTTTGGAGTTAGATTGAGCTGAACTCAGAGCCACCTTTGTCACTTACTAGTTGTGTGATCACAGGAGTGGGAGTCCATTTCTTTACCTATAAAATGGGGTGGGGGACACAGCTATTGACAGCTGCCCCCGGAATTGCCATGAAGATGAAGAGAGATAGTAGATGCCCAGGAGGCACTACCCGGTGTCTCGCACTTGAAATGTACATGGTTAATGTTGGTCTCTCTCCTTCCTTTCCCCTCTGCTTTTAGATTGGAATCCTGCTTATGTTTTCAGTATCAATACTATATGTTATTTTAGCAATATTTGAAATAAATAATCTTTTAGAGCATTTGAATTATGTTAATAGGAATCGTCCATTTCCTGCCAATTTTTAATCGGTATTCAATTTTTGATTTTTTTATGTGTAGATTGGCCATGAAAAATATAAAAACTCCAGGCAAACTCTCTTTCATGGCCAAGTAATTATTAGCTATTATTATGTAATTGCATGTGTATGAGCCCTCACTGCCAGATTACGTGTATTAAAGGATTGAAACCTGCTGTTCTCATTGAATAATTTCAAATAAACAAGGGTTCAAAATCCATGCCAGTTTTATCAATTAAAATAATGGAGAGTTATCTGTTACAGAAAACTTAAAATATTAGTTTAACTTTTAGGGCTAAAGTTGGCAAAATTAAGTCCAGTGTCCTGTGTTGAGCAAAGTCATCACCCTTCTTATAACAGGTAAATATTATATATATATTAATGCTTAGATTGCAGTTTATGTTGTTTGCTACATTTATTTTATTTTAAAATATAAAATTTTATCTGTAAATATAAAATTTTAAAAATTAAATAACATTAATTTTTTTCAGACAAAATGTACTATTTTATTGAAACTGGAAAGCTTTCAATACAAAAATGGGAAATCTGGCAAGGGGCAGAGGCAGACATGTTCACACTTGAGAACGTATGTACCAGAGAAATCATGTAATCAACAGCTGGACAGAAGGATGAGATGAAGGACAATTTATAGAGCTTATAAAAAGCGATTTTATCCTTTTATTTTATTTTTGCTTGGTTCAAAATGCCTGACAAAACTTTTGTCATGTGACTGAATTCTAAGCAATAGAAATAGAGGAGTTGATTATAAGAATGACCACTAGATGTTGCTAGTCATCTAGTTTATAAATCTAAGTAGCCACATTTTCCAAAAATTTGCCTCTCCCTTTTCTCCACTCAATATATTTTAATTATATTTAATTAAAAGTGGAGATATTTAACTCTCCACTCAATATCTTTTAATTATATTTAAAAGATAAGATATAGTTTATAGCATCCAAATCTGGAATATCGTAATGATATCTAAAAAGTTATTTTTAACATATTTTTTAATGTATAACCTGCCTCCCTCCATACCCATATTAATTTGGATATTTTTGTCATAAGGACTACAGATGTTTCAATTATGTTTTAACTTGGTTTAACAGGACACATTTATTCTGTAACTATGCTAAATGAGTAACTTTCAAACTTTTGATTATAATGTACTTCTGTTTCTTCCTTTGCTACATAACCCAGGAGCTGGGGAAAGCCTGCTACAGAACACTAAGATTTGGGAAAAAGATTTTTGGCTATGTCTGAAATCTGCAGAGCTTGATAGGCAAAATTCTGGTAAAACAATTGTGATTATTGCTTCCATTAGTTAGGCAGAGTTTTGTGTTTAACTTTTTTTCTGTTCAACAGCAATGGAGGAAGCAAAAGTAATGAGCCCCGGGAAAGGAACAGAGAGAAGCTTCATATCATCTCCAGGTCAATCAAAGGGGATGTTACAAGGTACCTGCTGCCTGAGCCCACAGGGAGACAGCAGGATGATTGTAGGAGAGCCATAAAGGCACCCAGCAACTGTTGTTGCAAAAACATTGGATGGCATTTCTAAGAAAGAAAGAAAGGCACTTCCTTTTTTTTTTAAATTAGTTATCGATGACTTATATCTGTGATTAAACTTCTAATTTGTTACCTATTCATGACATACAATGTAAAATGTATCAAAGAATCTAGAGAACCTGTAGAATTAGGTGGTTTGTGGAAAAAACTTAAATTAGACAACACTGTCCTTTAAGTTAGCAAAGCCACTCAGAAGGTGCCCTCATCTCCAGTAATAAGATCTACTGTGATAGGTCCCTTAGAAAAAGATTTTTTTCATCAAGATTATAGGAATGAGTGTTGCAGTCCATAAAGACAGCTCAGCTTTTTGCGTATTCTGTTTCATAATATTCATATATAAACAAAGGTAGAAGTTAATGTAAACTGATTGACTTTTCAGAGTCTCACCCACCCTAATTTTCGAGTAAGATGAGGAGATCTTATCTGCCATCACATCAAGTATATGAGTTTACTCACTAGAATAAATATTTTGGGAGATGTTGGTGACTTAATCTTCATTCTTTGGAAATACAAGATGAGATTATTAAAACTTTAAATTTCTAAAAATTTTCTCATCAAATGTTTAATTTTTACTTATTTTTTCTCATGTAATAATGTTCAGTATAATTGGATACCAGATAAAACCACATAAAAAATGTTTACGTTAAACATATAATAACACTGGAAACAGTTAAAGGCAAAGAGGTTGAGGCAAAATTCTGGTCACATCTGGCGATCTTTCAAGCAGAGCCCCTTTGCTAAAATCAGGGAGCATGTAGAATGTGAAGCACCATTGAGAAAGAACTTGAATTCCTTCTTAAGTGTGACAGTCTTCTAGTGGCAATCCACTCAAAAGCTGGCTTTTCCAATTCAAAAGACAGGATTTCTTCAAGGGAAATCTTAAGTAAAAAGTAAATAGTAAGGCTAGCGAATAGTGTTCACAAACTGTGTAAATCCTTCCACCGGTCCACTTGACCGTCTAGGCATGCAGCAAGAACTTTCCCTGGAAATTGTTTTGTGTGCCATTTCTCCTGCCATTAATTTCCACCAGATGAAATCCGATTGACCCTTTAAGACTGGGGTGTATGTCATCTTTCAGGAAGCTTCCTTGTGC